AGTCTCCTAAAGCGCTACACTGATTTCACTCGTTGACTCCACACTCGGTGGTGACAGAAGCGGCCGCTCAGACCACCATTCACTCACTGCATTCATACTGTTGCTGTTCAGACTGTTGTGTTGAAGAGGGAGCTGAGTTGAAAGGCAAAGCTCTCAATTTACCACTCAATCTATATGTTCCCACCCTCACCTATGATCATGAGCTTTGGGTAATTACTTTCTCCCGCGATTCGGTTATCGATATGCATTTGCCAAGTATCGATATCGATTTTCCAAAAAAAAAAAATGTTTTAACTTTTTTTTTTTTTTTTTTGAATTGGTATCAATACTTAATATATGGCTACATTACGCATCTCCATTCCATTTATCATGAAATAAAGAGTATTTTTTCTTTTATTTATGCCATAAATTGGCATATTGTATATTTCTGACCAATATATCAATAATCGTCATATCGTGATAAAATCGTTATCGTAATATCGTTATCGTGATATTATTGTTATCGTGAGCTTTGTATTGTGTATCGTATCGTGAGGTACCCTTAGGTTCCCACCCCTAGTAATGACCGAAAGAACAAGATTGCCAATACTGCTACAATATTGCTGGGTGCTCCCTTAGAGATAGGAAGAGGAGCCCAGTCACAAGGGAGGAGCTCGGAAAAGAGCCGCTGCTTCTCCACCTTGAGAGGATCTGGCTGAGGTGGCTCGGGTATCCTTTTTGGATGCCTCCTTGAGGAGGTGTTCCGGGCATGTGCCACTGGGAGAAGACCCAGACAAAAATCCACGACACTGAGCTGGAGAAAGGGTGTGTGGATAGTTCAGAGCATCTCTGCTGCCACAATGACCCGGAAGATGGAACATTTTATCCCTTTATTATCCATTTCTGGGTTGGGGTGTGGCAATTAGAGCTGCCATCCAATTCACAATGCACCAGTCCCTCGCTGATCCTCCTACAGGTGGTGGGTCCACAGGAAGATGGCTGCTCCTTCAACAAAGATACGGCCTTGGTGTTTCAGCGGAGACTTCAGGCAAAGTGGGGTTAAGTGTCTTGCCCAGGGACACAACAACAGCAGTGGGAGCATGATTAAAAAACACCTTAATTCATGCATTCAGCTTGGCAGCAAAATGTATTGAATTACCATGTATATTTGAAGTTTTTTTCTCCAGACTTTGTTTGTTTGTTTCAGTGTTCAAACGGCATTACCAAACCAAGCATAGTCACATACGTAGTGATTAAAAATAGACTGAGCCATGTTTTTCAAAGTAGATCAGCCACATTCTAGTCACCGGAACTTTGGGTGTGTTTTATTCTCATACAACATACCATCCAAAATGTGAACACATTTGTTATAACCCTATTCTCTTTGCATGAAAAAAGTTTCAAATGTCACTGCAGAAGTCACTGGACATATTGGACTTTGAACTAAACTATTTCTATGCTATGTTGCTGTCCTGAACAACAATCACAACAACATTATCAACACTTCCACTTTGTACACAGCAATCCCAGATCTGTCCTCTGATTGGACGAGGGAAAGGAAATCCTCATCTGTAGTCCCACAATCATTAGCATAAATCACAGTTGCAATTAAAAGCTCGTTTATCTTAATTACAGAACTAATGAGACGCGTCCCGCAGGAGTGAGCGCGGATCTCCAAAGACAGAGCAGAGATGCTCTTAAAACAGGCACGACCCGCTCTCATCTGCCTCCCGCTGTGGACAGACGGAGGAGAGACCCGGGACAGGGGCGCTCAGCGTTCAAAGACATGGGAGGATTCTGTTAACTATTCTGTTCTGGCATTAACAACAGGAAAGGGTAAATGAATACTGTAATGAGAAACTACGGTCGAGTTGTGGGCCCCCTCATCTGAATGTACAGAGGTGCACAATAATGGACAACAATATATGAAACGATTTTTAATAAGCACTCCCTTGTATTGATTTATTTTTATATGATAATTACTAAATCCACTTCGCTCCATAAATAAAAGCTTCGATGATATATTTAATGCTCATTCATTATCATCTGTGCATTTTCCTTGTAATAGTAAAATGTTTGCTATTTATTTTGAAATATGATAACATTGCACCTGTGAGCAATGGATAGATGACCATGATTGATGATTAAAACCTTGTTTTTCTTCTGCTCGAATTCAAAGAAATTCACAAAACACGCTAATTAAAGTGAAATTAGATCAAATTAAACCATCAATTACAGAAGAAAATTGTCTTTTGACTCAATTTAAATGACTATTGTTGCAGTTGTGATTGCAACCACTACAACAGCAGTATATGGTTTGATAAAAGGGATAGTATGTAATATGTTGGGGAAGTCAAATGACCACTAACACCACTTTATATAATTAATCGAAAAACAAAAATAAATGTTTCAGTGGATCGCCAAGTCTGTTTATGTAGCCGTTTAAATACATTTAAAAAAAGACTGTTTTTAAAATGGTTGTTTATACTAGACTTTAACAACAGCAATATAATTTTCACAATGGCAGTATTCTTTTTATTTTGCAATTTCCCTCCACCCCCAGTGCTTGTCTGAAACACGAGGAAGCATCATACAAGCACGTCCCCTCCCACCTCTGTGCTGGCTCGGCTGCACCCTTCAGCTCCCATTATCTGTCAAACTTATAATGATTGTATCAGGCTACGGGCTCATCTCCATGAGGGCTTAGTGCAGTGCTATAACTCCTGATATTGCACTGACTGGGAATACATCGCACCACCTAATTAATGTCTTTTTAATGCTCTTCTCCTCTAGAGCCCAACTCAGCCCTTCAACTTTGCAACAAACAGTGCACACAACAACACCACATGTGGCAGACGCTAAGTAAGACGGAGTGTGGAGACGGCAACAGGACCACGGGCCGGTGAAGACGCATGTCCTCCACAAGCGATAACGCACGGCCACTCCACGTTTTTGATTTAAAATGCACAATGCGTCGGGTCAGGCTTGTACGCTCTGCGAGGGGGTCAGCCAGTGACTCAGCAGATGGCACAACAATGGATATCTCCATCACCAAAATTCCCGCACAGGCCAGGCATCGCGGGCCACGGCAGCCTGTACGGTCCAGCTGGCAGCTCCAGAGGCTGCTGTCCTTCCATGGCGGCTGGGGCAATTCCGACCAGGGTGTGAAGAGATTAAAGAAGATTAATCCTCCTGATGAGCTTTATTTGACTGATAAATGTAGGCTGGAGGATCTGTCAGGTGTGTGTGTGTGTGTGTGTGTCCCACGGGAAGTAAGCGATAATTGTGGTACAAATAAACAGCCCAGGGGGGTATTAAAGCAGCATTACAACGACTTGGACCGCACCCAGTTTATGAGCTTTATCTGGGTGGAAATACACTCAGACGTGAGCCAAACTTTAATGAGTTAAAGAACTGTTGCTGGCACTTTATGTGAGGTTTTTTTTGTTAGCGAAAAGTTCAGGACTTTTTAATTTGCTTTGCAGCTAAAAGTGTTGATTTATTTGTTGAGGTTGATGATTGCTCGTCTAACACTTGAACAATGCAACTTGGCAGTGCTTGTTGCTGCTTTCCTGAACTGTTTATGTTATAGCATATACAGTAGGTTCCATTCAAGCATTTATTCAAATGAAAAGTTCATTTGCAAAAACAGATATATCCAATTTGAAAATTCGTCCAAAAGTTGTATTCCTCTTGCTTCAATCTTCTACACATTTTATTATTGGCAGTGCATTTCAAAGAATTTGTATGACGCTAAAATAGGTCAGGCTTTTCCAGAAAACTATTGGTAAAGCACAAATAGTAAGCCTTTAATATACTTTTCTAATCACAGCTATATGTTTTTGTAAATGAACTATTCAAAAGTTGAAAGTTTTAAGTGTACTTGACTCTCACATATCTGACCTGTAACTTGATGTACTATACATGATTCTGTAGAATATGTCAAACTACATATGACGGGACATTTTATTTCAATGTAAGACTTTGATGCAGTTTGTGTTTGCTGAAGGACAATGATTAATACGAGCTTTGTGTTGCAATCCATTGTAAACATATAGAGATAAAAACATAAAGAGCCTTGTGAATGTCCTCCCTCTTGATGATTCCACCAATTCCTGTGTCCCTTTGAGGTCTAAAAGAAGTCGGGTGTGGGTCTTTCTGGCTCTTGGCCACAACCCGCAGTCAGGGTCAGAGCCACGGCTGATCCAACCTGTATAGCCAAAAGCCTCTTCCTTGAGCCAGACCTGGTGCAAGTCGTCAGCTTTAGTCTGAGTTTCGTTTGTCCTTTGAATTTTGATTTATATTTATTATTATAACTATAATTAAGTAACCCTGTTTAGTTTAATTAAACGTCCTCTTTAATATAGATTTAGTTTATACCTAATCTGTGAAATTACAACTAAAAAGCCCCTTTTAATAAAGCCTTAAGATCTTAAATTAATACATTTTCAAAACCCTTAGTAGAATACCATAAGGGGCTTCTCCCTTGACAAATGTATATAATTGGATCTATCATTGACATCACTGACATTCATCCAAGAATTTTTGGCAGAACTACAAAAGTAATATTTTTGGCAACAATAAAACACACACGTGCATAGCTCTGCATTTCCTCTTTCCTAATGAAACATGTAATTGTGAGAATTACATGTTACAGTTTTATGCGGAGATTTCAGTTGACTATTTACTCATCTCAGCAGCGTGGAGTAAAACACATGGGACTCATTTCCAGAGACACTTTCATCATTCAAAAACATGCTGTAACCTTTTGTCACTGTAAACCTTCTCCCTCTTATGGCACCATGGTGAAAAATAGCTGTGAAAATAAGCTGACTACGGCATAACTGCACCAAACAGTGATTAATAGCTTATGGGCAGAGCTCCTCTCCCATTCAGAGTGTGTGCCTGTATTGACCGCACTGATGAAGATGAAGCCTGTCTATTATTGCTGTGGGATTATGATAAGCAGCGGTCGATACTGCTCTGTGTGTGAAGAATGTAGGATTGATTTGGAGACACACCTGAGATGATCCTGTAGGCGATGGGTCTCGGACGGCCAAGATCCTGGTCAATGGCTGTTATCTTCCGTACCACGTAACCCTGCACAGAGAGACAAGACATGGCAGGTATTAGCTTAATGCAACCTTTCATAGTCTATTGAGAAGAGCAATGAGGGATCACATGGGTTATCTCACATGGAATGCACCGATGCCTACAATGTTATCAAGTATTGTGCCAAGCCAGGTCATTATGTGGCCTGTTTAAACTAATATTCTGATTGGGATTTTCAATGGATGAAATAAGAATATTAGCTGGTTGAAGTAAACCTAGAACAACATGGATTTTACTTTTACTCATACAAAGTTGTTTGGTTGTTTAAGGGATTAAGGGACTATAATTATATGGTATTTTCTGCAAATATTGAAATTTCTCCACTGCAGGACAAATGAAGGATCTCTTAAATCAAATTATCAAACCTCACTTATTTACAGACTAGACTAAACTTTAAAATGTCACAAACATAGGTGCTGTGTTTATACTATGTTTTACAGTACATTAAGATATTTTTTTTATTTTTTAATACTGTTTAAACTATGTAATAAAATCCATCTAACTATTTCCTCAGGCCAAAACAGTTCTATCACTAGTTTTCTCATGCATGTATTTTTGGCCCCTGTCACATCTTTTGATCAGATTTCTCAGGCAGAAAAGTGAAAAAGAGAGGACCACTCAGCTCTCACCCCAAAGCAGAGATCTGTCTCAGAAGTTTGCATAATATCTTATTATTATTATTTTTTAATAGTATGATTATATTATATTCTGCAACAGGGCGACAGTAGCTCAGTTGGTAGAGCATTGGCCTTAAGGCCAGAAGGTTGTGGGTTCAATTCCCACCTCTCCACCGACTCCCACTGATGACTGCTGTCGTTGTGTCCTTGGGCAAGACACTTAACCCCACTTTGCCCAAAAGCCCCCACTGAAAGATCAAGGCTCTGCTCACACTCAGAGAGCAGCCGTCCTCCTGTGGACTCACCACCTGCAGAGGGTCAGTGAGGGGCTGGTGCTATGAGACTTGGGTGGCATCTCTGACTGCCACCCCCCTGACCCAGAAATGGATTAAAGGGTAGAAAATGGATGGATATTATATTCTACTTATACGTATGTGCAACATTCTACACATATGTATATCTAAAACATATTTATGAAACAAAAACAAAAAAGTATCCCAGCTTGTCCACATGAAAATGGCAAAATTGTTCTTGTATCTGTATCTGGGACTAAGTGTATTCATTATTGCTTTACACTGTGTAGTATAAATGTTGACCATCTCATATTTCAGAAACCCTGTTTGGAGATTCTCAGAGCCTTGAGTAAAGCGCTGCCACACAGTTACAGACATGTGTCATTTGGCTGAGTCCATGAGGAGCAGAGGGCGGTGACAGAGCGAGTGTCAGCTGTCCTCAAGGCTCAGAACATTTACATGTAAAACTAGATCCCGTCATAGGTCAGCTCTCAGAGGTGTGAAGCGCAGCCCTCTGCCGCTCTGCGCCCATCCGCAATTTAAGGATTTTCTCTTTCAGTTCTGTACATGAGTCACTTTTTAACTTTCCACAGAAACTATGTAAAATGAAGAGGCATGAAAGTAATGTTTTTAAATTAGGTGTATCCATGGGTTTACCCTTGTTTTAAGTTATACCATTGATTTAAATTGTAAAATGCTGCCATTGGAAGCTTTGTTCTACTGATGAGCATCACTGACAACATAAGTATTACTTAAAGCAACAATGTTACACCAATGTTTCTGTAACTAATCTAAACATTCATGTATTTTCCATCAGAAAAGTGAAAAAGGGAGGACCACCCTCACTCAGTCAATTAGTCAAAAAGTCAAATAGTGACTCACAGGTTTGTTGGGACATAATTCTATTATAAATGATTATTCTATTGCATGTTAATGGCTTTAGGAGAAAAAAAAGGAAGCAACACATTAATACTAATAATCAATGTGTGAAATATTAGCAGCATTGTCCTCAAAACAAAGTTAATATGTAATAACCATTAAAGGAATAATTACTTAAAGGCAAAACATAATTTAACATAGTTATTTTAGACCGTTTTTATCAGTGCATTAGAATATTGCATAAAGAAAACTAAAGCCAGAACTAAAACCACAACACTAGAAACACAACACTAGAAGGCCTCAGGCCTCATCAAACGGAGACAGCAAAGGTAATATTTGCATTTTTTTATCTTTTGTAATGCTGAAAAGTACACACACACAAAAAAAGAAGAGAAAAATAAAAATTAATGAATCAAGTGAAATCTTAATCATGATTCCTACAGTATGTGTCCCTGTACGCAGAAACATAGCTTGAGAACTGCTGCCTTGGGTGAAATCTCTGGGTTTTTAGCCATTCTTATTGTGGATCCAGGCTGACGTTTAAGCTCCTTCTAGGACAAACACAATTTGGCTGTCAGATGAATGAGGAAAAATGGTTCGGGGGTGTGGGCAAGGATATAGTGCGCTGCTATGTGTATTTTCTCGAGGGTGGATTGTATCTTTAGTGCCTGATTGGACATATGGACAGCTCCACAATATTGCACACATTACTTCAGCATCACTGCCTCCTCTTTCTCTTTATTTCGGTCGCTAAATCTTTCCCACCCCCTGTGAATACTTGTGTGTGTGATTTTGCGAGGCTGTGAATTGGTGTCTCTAAAAGGCTTGTAATTGATTTTGCTGTAATTGGTCACTGAAAGGAGATGCAGGGGAAGACGCGGAGCAACATAGCATATAGGCACAATTTGTAGAATCAATAGAAGGCGGTGCCAGAAGTGCGAGTGTGGGCAGACAGAATTCAAGTCAAATTCAACACCTGCATACTACATACTTTTGTCCCTGAAGACAAATCAAAGAGGATTAACTGTGAACCTCATTAAGAAGCTGATCATTCACACTTACAAATAACCGGATTTTAATTAAATACAAAAAGAACAAGGCACTATGTCACCACTGACAGTGCGGCCATCTTCCTGTGGACCAAACTAAGGGGTTAAAAAAAACAAAAATACATGTTTTTTTGTTGTTTTGTTATTACAACAAATATTCCTTTCTTCAAGGAGTGAACATTAAAGTGTTAAACTGGAGTATTCTAAATTAAAAGTACAACGGATTTTTATTTTTATTAATTTTAATTTAGGTGGTTTTGGCTCCATATTTTTTTTAAATACATTTCACAAACATAAAAATAATAACACTACATTATGTAAATGAAGGCATGTACAAAAATAAGTGGTCAGACATTATGTACTGATAGCCCAACTCCAGCAGGTAAATTCCATGTAAAGTAATCAGTACTTTAAAGCAGGATTCGGGCAACAAAAGTTGGATTGTATTTGACCACTAATATATGCTCCATTTAATATAATCTGCCTTGAAAAGAGTATAAATTATATTTGGAGATGGTAGAAATGTTTTTCAACTATAATATCAACATTGGTATCACGTATCTCGTAGCCTTTTCTTTTTAGTTTGTAATTTTCGTATTGTGGCAACACCAGATGGAATAGGACTATTGGATATAAGAGGAGAGGGTTTTAATATGGCCACCGTGTCGGATTGAAAATTCTCAGTGGATCAGAGAAATCTCACAAAGCACAAAGCACGTTTTTCCATTTAATTTTTTTTCAGCTGTCATTCTGCCGATGTGCTGAAATGTAGACTGACTGGCACAGCGGGAGAGGCCTGAATGAGAACAAAAATACTCAAGGAAATTTAAAAGCGCAAATGATGAACTAACAACTCCAAGTCTAAACAGAAAGTCTACCATTTAAATATGAATTATATGGATATTTGTGCTTGGCTGGTCAACATCAAAGCGTGTGTCAACTAACATAAAATCCAGCAGACTCAAACAAACAGTCCTTCCATTAATTTATTTTAACACACTTTAAGATGTATTCCATAGCATATCCATGTTTTTTGAAGACGGGGTCCATCGCATATTGCTTATATTAGTCTAACTAACATACACAGACAGAACATTACTAAGACTCACATCATTTTAACAACTGGTGAATGGTACTGGACTAAACGCACAATTTCCTTTCAGCTTGACCGTACGCCCCAGGTGTTTTTGTACTTTGATAAATACTCATAAAGAAAAGTTTAAAAAGTTTAAAAAGAGAGATGAGAGCTGCCATTGAGGTCAAGAAAGCAGTGGCTCTCACAAAAACCTATTCAAAACCTGGATACATGTCCACCAGGCCTTCCTTTCTTCAACACATACACTGGGTTGTGTGAAGCACAGTGACATATGTACAAGTTAAGGTTAACCTTGTGTTAACTTTAGTTACGTTTAAAAATATATATATATCCCAATTATTATAATGATAAGTAAACAGGGCAGTACACAATGTTCTTGGTTGAGGGTCTGCTTTTTTCAGGGGTCCCTTAAAATTATGTTTTGTCTTGAATATTCCAAAGTATGGCATCAATACATTGGAGACAAGGGATTTGACTTGAGTAACAAGTCATGTCAGCGGAGAAAGCTTAGTTGATGTAAGAATCCAGTGTTTTGAGCAGTATAAACTGAGATTGACAGGCGGATCGGTGCAGCGTGCGCAGTGATGCGGTCACTGTATCGGACCGTTGTGGTAAAGAGGGAGCTGAGCCGAAAGGCAAAGCTCTCGATTTACCGGTCAATCTTCGTTCCCTCTCTCACCTATGGTCATAAGCTTTGGGCAATGACCGAAAGAACGAGATTGCGGATACAAGCGGTCGAAATGAGCTTCCTCCGCAGAGTGGCTGGGCGCTCCCTTAGAGATAGGGTGAGGAGCTCAGTCACACGGGAGGAGCTCGGAGTAGAGCCGCTGCTCCTTCACGTCGAGAGGAACCAGTTGAGGTGGCTCGGGCATTTGTTCAGGATGCCCACTGGATGCCTCCCTGGGCAGGTGTTCCGGGCGCGTCCCACCGGGAGGAGGCCCCGGGGAAGACCCAGGACACGCTGGAGGGACTATGTCTCTCAGCTGGCCTGGGAACGCCTTGGGGTTCCCCCAGATGAGCTGGAGCAAGTGTGTGTGGATAGGGAAGTCTGGGC